AAAATGTATATATATACAACAATCTTTATAAGTTAGTTAACAACCATAATCTGTCGTTAGCTGTCTATATCTTTCGTTCTAAATTTGTTACTAAGTTCAAGTCATAAACAACTAATATAAAGTTTTATAATTATTTTTGAAACATATTTAGAAAAAAACTCACATGTTAGTAACTAACTGTACTATTTTTACTAATATGTAAGTATTTTTGAAAATAAAAATATTAGAAATTAGAAGGTTTTATTGAAACTTTATATGATATAATTTATTTTCTCAGATTAAGTATTTAAAAGCGCTATACAAGGCACGAGTACAAGTATCGAAATTATTAACAGAATGACTGACAATTTCTCAGCTGCAGTTAGTTGATTATTGGGAATATAAACTCATTATTTTGGTTTATAAATCTAACAATTTTTTTTTTGGTGTGATAAGATATCAAAAATATTTAATACGAAATTTTTTTTTTTGCTTCCTACACTCAAGAGTTTTTAGATTAAAATTAACCATTGATTAAATCAATGTTGTTTTTATCTGATATATATAGTCCATGTATGAATACTTGTAAATTCTTTCATTGGTAGTAGCAGTAGTTATAATAAAAAAATTTCAAAATTTCACTTAACTACAAGTACATATAATAATAATCTTGTTTATATATATTTTAGTTTAAGTTTTTTCTGTTTTTTTTTTTTTTTTGGTGGCAGAACAAAATGTGTTTTGAATTTTAAAAGAAAGCCCCAGAACCAAATAATCAATATACTTATAGTGGGCAGATTTATTGCTTTTTTTCCTTATTGTCTTGAATTTCTGCATGTGCAGTAAATATTTTACATTAAATCGATAACGCGTTTCTTTTTAAAAGGAAATGAAAGGTTGTGTTGAACTGAATTCAAAATTTGTGTGTTCAATGCCCCCTTTTTTCATTCGAAAGTAACGTACTTCATATTATTATTTACATTTTATTATATATATTATTATTGTTGTTGTGTTTGTTGACAACAAATCAATATACAACCTAACACAGCACATGTGTGTGATCATATTTAAATAAATCAAATGACTAAAATTGAAAAAAAAAATCCCAGTTTAGTTTAATAATAATAAATAAAAATATGTAATTAATTAAGGCAAACATTTTGTGTTGTTGATTATTATTGCAAATCTCCAAATTATTTACTTTTGTATTTATGCATAATAAATACTTGTAGGAGGTACTAATAAAATTAATAACAAACATTTTGTTAATACAGTTCGTGGCAAAAAAATAATAATAATCTTTTTGGTTATCTTGGAAAAAATTTATGTTTCACGTAAATTTTAGAATAATAAGTTTGGTATAGAAGAAATAATATACAGAACAGTTAATGATTTGAATATACAAAATCTAACAGGCATGGGATATTCTGAAGTATTGTAATTTTTTAACTTTTTGACATTGACATTTTTTCACTACCCCTACAACACATAAAGTACATACTTTTTCTTATATTATGAAGAAGTCAAAAGATTAGTTCGTAACATAGTCTATTAACTAGTCAAAGAACTCAAGAATGCTAAATAGACCAGTCAGAAGAATGACCCGTAAACTAGTGCACGAATTAGTTGTGTAGATTAGTCTAGTCCATATACTAGTCTATAAAATAGTTAAAATACTAGTCAATAGACTAGTCTCTAGACCAGCCAATAGGTTAGTTCATATAAGTATTCCATATAAACTGGTAAATAGACTAGACAATAGAGCATTGTATAGTCAGAATAGTCAAAAGACTGGTCCATTGACTAAACAAAAGACTAAACAGCAGACTAGACAAAAAACCATAACTAGTTCATATAAACTAGTAAATAGACTAGTCTATAACTATACTACTCAATATTGACTAGACGAAAGGCTGGTCTAAAAAATAGTCGAATAGCCAAAATAATAGTCCGTAGACAAAACAGCAGACAAGTCCGTATAGTAGAAAAGAGACTAGTCAGTAGTCTTTAAACTAGTCAATAGACTATTCTACGGATTAGTTAACCCATAGACTAGTCAAAAACCATCCTTTAGATTATTTCCTAGATTAGTAAATAGTTTAAACGGTCATAGACTAGTCGAAAGACTGGTCCATGGGCTAGACAAAATACTAGTCCATAGACTAAACAGCAGACTAATCAATAGACTAGTCCATAGACTAAATAAAATACTAGTATATAGACTAGTTTTTAGACTAGTCCATAGACTATTTTTTAGACTGGTTTTAAGACTAGTTTTTAGACTAGGTTTTGGAATAGTCAACAGACTAATGCATAGACTAGCCCATAGATACGATAAAATACGAAAACACTACTCCATAGACAAGACTAGTCAGTAGACTAGCTCATAAAAAAGACAAAATACTAGTTCATAATCCATGTACTAGGATTAGTCAATAGACTAGTCCATAACTTAGAACAAAAACTAGGCCATATATCAGTCAAAAGATTATCCAATAGATAGTTCATTGATTCTTTCATAGATTAGTCAATAGATAAAAAGTTGATTAAGTAATTTTGATTTTAAAAATGTACTCTTTTAGAAAAACAGCTGTTAAGTATTGTTTGAAAATTTCGTCTCCCTGAGAAATTCTACGAAGTAAGTTCTTTTTTTTTGAAAATCTGCTTTTTCCGCAAGAGAAGTTGAAGAAATGAGTACAAAAAAAAACACTTCTTAATGGGAAACACTTTTAAATTAATAAAATAAATAAAATTATTTATTGCATAGTTTATTTAGTTTTCCTTTTATATTAAAACAAACAGAAGTTTCTTTGACTTTGATTTCCCACTGTTAAAACACTAACTTAAACTAATTTAGCAACTCTGTGATACTCCCTCCATATTAAATTGAGACATTTACACAAACAAAACAATAACAAAATGTAAACAATGCATTCACACACTTACCTTTCTACCTATTGTATACATGTTTGTACGAGTGTTTGATAAATTTACGTGCGACGACAACAAACATGCAAACAAACATGGCTGTAAAATATAATGACGACATTTTTTCATTCATAATTATTTTCATTCACAAAATAGATAAACAAAAACAAATTTTATACTTTTAACATGGCGCTTTAAATAATTAGACAGTAATTGAGACTCAGGATAAAAACAAACTTTAAATAACTTCACATACCAACAAAAACCAAAGCCTTGACTTTTCAATGACACATTTGTACACACTTTTCTATTAAGTTTATTTTTTTTTGTATTGTTATTAACTAATTAATTTTATACACCAAAACATTTAAACATTATTTAACAATAGTAAACTCACTGTATAGGTTATATAGAAAACAATTATCACTTTAAAACATAAAAATTAAATTACACGTTATTAATCAAGCCGGCGTTAGCGAAACAATACAAATTGAAACTAAATGGTAGTGATAAACTAAAATAGAGTTGCCATTATTATTTTATATATAGAAATACATACTGTATAAGGAAATGGGTTTATGATGGGGGCGGTGTTTGGTATTAATGCCCAATTTGTAAAAAGTTTACACTCAAAGTTTAATTGTGTTAGAAATACTATTTATTGGGAATAATTTTATATGGGGAAGAAAATTTTAATTGGAAATAGAAGTTTGGAATGAATAAAAGGAAATTTTACGATTAAAAAAACATAATAAAGTTTTTTAAATTGTTTTTTTTTTAATTTTTAAGATTTAAGGTTATTTACATAAATAAATACCCATTTTTTGTTTAATTTTAAAATTTTGCTCTTTTTCTCCTACAATTCAATCATATTTTTAAAAACTTGAAATCAAATAACATTAATTACTTTTTCTTGTGTTTAATACATATTATTTTTTAAAAAATGTTAAGATTTATTGTTTTGTACAGATATATAAATAGGCAAGGACAATTTGGTTTAATTTTAAAACAAAAAAAGGTGAAAAACTTTTGGTTTCAAATGAAATTATTGGCTAAAGGCCACCATCTTATATGGAATTGAAAATTTTACATTTTGAATATTATTTATAAATAAAATATATAAGTAATTCTTTTGTTAAATATATGTTTTGTGATAAAAATAAAGAACATTCATATTTTTACAGTAAATATGTGTTAATGAAAATTCGGTTAATTTATTCATAAATTAAAATACCTTAAAAAAAATATTTGAAAATTTTAACAAGAAAACTTTTAGAAATTCATCCAAAAAAGTAGTTCCTAGTACTTAACAAGTACTTTTCGATATCGTAAAATACCGCGGTACCCCACGACATTATCAGTACTTTTTCTAACTATATACATATGTATTTCAAAACCCGATTTCTCAGTGTATTTTCTTTAAATACCTTATTAATGAATAATTAAATTTACAATCTGTCTACAATGTATAATTAATATGCCCAGCACATACTTAATAAATACGATTCATAAGTGGAATATTTAATATAATCAAAAAAACATATGTATGCATAAATATGCACATATGTGGAGGCAAACATACATAAATACATATGTATGTACATCCCATACATATTATGTTTATGTATGGCCAAATAATAAGAATAACAACAACAAATATTATCGATATCCAAAAATAACTTGGAAACAATCATAACAGCAATTATGTATAGGGCTTCCTTTCGTCACAATTTAGTATTGACTTTTTCAAGCTCAATTCTTTTGCTTTTTTCAATATTCTTATTGTTAATATTTGCTACTTTAAGCCCATTTTGCTGACAAAATATAACAGCAATAATAATGCCACAACAACTACATCAATGTCACTAAAAGGGGCAAAAACAAAAACACGAATTTAAAACCTATAATTCTAGCAGTCTCTTAATTGCCTACGATTTTTTTAAAAACATTACACCTCTTTATTATCCTTCTTAAACCAGTGTTTCCCAAAATTTGTTTTATTAAAATCATAAAGACAACAAACTCTTACTTTCTCTTTATCCACTTTAAAGCATCCTTTTTTAATCATGTCTTTTCTTCATCTTCTTTTCCAGAATAAATGGCCACAACAAATCAAAATCATCGAAAACCGACCAATGATGAACCGGCTGCTTCTGAATCTTTGGTTAACAAAGTTATAAATGAATCAGATGAAGTCGAAGAGGTCGATAAATCAACAGCTGCCGTTGTCATACCACCCGACAGTGGCTGGGCTTGGGTGGTTATGGTAGCCTCCTTCCTTTGCTGTACAGTCATTGATGGTATTGTCTTCTGTTCCGGTCTCATTCAGTCTAGCCTTATCGAAGAGTTTCAAGTGTCCAAAGGTTATGTGGCGTTTGTATCTTCATTGCTCAGTGGTTGCTACTTAATGGCTGGTCCATTTGTAAGTGCTTTGGCCAATCGTTTTGGTTTCCGGCCAGTAACTATTGCTGGTGCTCTTTTTGCAGCTGTCTGCTTTATTGTATCCAGTTATGCCACCAGTGTGGAAATGCTCTTCATAACTTACGGTATTTTGGGTGGCATTGGCTTCTGTATGGTCTATATTCCCGCCGTGGTCATAATTGGTTTCTATTTTGAAAAATGGAGAGCTTTGGCCACCGGTTTGGCTATGTGCGGTTCAGGTGTGGGTACTTTCGTATTCGCTCCCTTGACCAACTACATGTTGAGCCAATTTAGCTGGCGCCAAACTATGATGTATCAAGGTTTCATTATCATTGGTTGTGCCATCTTTGGCTTGGCTTTCAGACCTATCCAACCTCTTACTTTAGCCGTAGTCGAGGAAGAAGATGAGAAGAGGAAATTGAATGGTCATGGCAATGCTGTTGCTCCTAAACCTCAATTTGCCACCACTGCCTTTAGCAAGCCCTTACCTGAGGGACGTTTTGCCTATTCTATGCCCAACTCTGCCCACAACACCTATGTGGGTGCTTCGCCCAAACATCACTATCCCACAGCTGCTGAGGTATTCAAAGGTGTCAATATGGAACGCCGACTATCGGGCCAAAGCAAGGGTACTGAATTAAAGAACTTACGTAAATCTCAACCAACCACACCTAATGGTGAAACTCAACAAATGACCTTCAATCTCAACAAGGAACTGACCACAGTCGGCGAAAATGAAGAAGAAACCGAAAATGAAAACTTGTTGGAGACTGAGGCCAAGCCCACCATTGTACAAGGCCGTCGTCACACTGTTTCCGGCAGACGTCCACCAAATATTGGCAGTCGCAGCAATGTTGGCTCTCAAGATGCCGTCAACACCAGCGTTACCCGTCCCATGTATCGTGATGATATCTTCTTCTCCGGCTCCCTTACACGAATACCCCAATACCAGTCACAATCCTCCTTGGCCTATCACATGTCCGTCACCCGTCTACCCACCAAAACCGAAGAATTGGAAGCTCGTTCTAAGGGCTGTCACTTGTGTCCCGAAGCTGTACGTCGTACTTTATCCACTATGTTGGATGTAACTCTGTTGAAATCACCCTCTTTCATGTTATTGGCTTTCTCCGGTTTCTTGACAATGATGGGTTTCTTCGTTCCCTTTACATTCTTGGTGCCTAGAGCAGAATTGGCTGGCATGGATACCGGTTCGGCTTTGGGTGTTGTGTCCGGTATTGGTTTGATCAATACAATTGCTAGGATATTGTGTGGTTTCGTCTCATCCTTCCCCAGTGTTAAGCCTCTATGGTTAAACAATATTGCCATTACCGCTGGTGGTGTTGCCACAATTTTCAGTGGTGTCGTCATTACCAGTGCCAGTCAGTGGACTTTTGCTGTTTTGTTCGGTTTGTGTATTGCCTGCTTCTCGGCTTTGAGATCTCTCATTGCTGTCGAAATGATTGGTTTGGAGAAATTGACAAATGCTTATGGTTTCCTGATGTTGTTCCAGGGTATAGCTGCTACCGTAGGCAGTCCTATTGCCGGTAAGTTGGTAGAATTAATTATGTACATATATATAATGAATAGAAATCGGGAATGTTAATTTTATAGGTTAAGGTGAAACCATATATACAAATGAAAGTGATATCGTTTATGGAACCGTTTTATAGAAACCTTTTAGATTCGAAATTAGTTTTGAGGTTGAGTTATAGAGTTGATATTCACTCTATAGATCAGTTCCTGTTAGTTCTTCTATCAATTTTTTAGACATTTTTGACTTCTGAAACCATTTAGTTTTTCCATCAATTGTTTTCATTTGGAAGAATCATAAAGTTCATACTAGTTCCATAGAACGCCACTGAAATATAAATTTTCTTTGAAATTGTTGCCTTCGGAACTAATCGTTACACGAACGGTTCTGGAGCTACTTTTATCCATCAATGATTTTGATTAGAAATTGTCATCTTTGGTACTAGTTCTTGGGTATCTTTAAAGAACAAATAGCTTTCTTAGGAATAAGTTCATTTTCCAAATATTTTGTTTGATAAGATATTCATTAAGATATCTCGAAGAAGGATTAAGATATGACAGAAATTAAACCTTAATTTTTAAGCAGACAAACAGGAATTTGAGATGTCATAATAGATTTTATCAATAAAGGTCTCTTCGCGCTGTTATTACGACTCAAATATAGGGCACGATAACTCAAAACCGTGATGTGATAAAGAAGTTAAGATTCGGATTTAGCAAAGTATACATTGATTTCTGGATTAAATAGTTGCTGGCCTGTGTAATTCATATTAAGAAAGAGATACTAGTCTTTTTTTTACAAGTGATCTGGATATAATTTTCCAATTTTATATCTTTTTAGAAATCTCCAATGTTTAACATATCCATAATAATATACATTTATCTGTTTTCATTTACAGGTGTTTTGTTTGATATGACTGGCAGCTATGACATTTCCTTCTACTTTGCTGGTGGCCTTATCTTGGTTTCCGCCTTCTTGTGTTATCCTCTAACCTGGGTGTCCAACTGGGAGAAGAAGAAGAATGAAGAAAAGGCAGCACAATCATTACCTCATGCCTAAATATACAATAATAACATAATAACTGAATTCCTAGACTTAAAACATAATAAAACAAACTGAAACATAACATAAAAACAAAAACAAATTAAAGAAAAACAACAACAACAAAAAAACAAACAAAAGAGTTTACTATTTAATAACATTTAATTTAATTTAAAGAAAACTGTAACAGAGCAAAGTAACTTTTCTAATATTAATTTTTGAGTAAAAAACCGCAAAATAATCAAAATTTTCATAAAACATACTTTTTAATTTTTCCTTTTTTTATTGTTCTTATTTTTTTCCCATTAATTATTTCTTTTTAAATTTTTCTTTTGTTATTATTACATAATTATACATAGTTCACTTTGTTTTACAGTTTATAACCCAAATAATAATGAAATACAATTTTGCCTTAAGTTAATATTAAAGTAAACAGAATACTAAAAGAAAGGATTTGAAAAGATTTTGTAATATTTTCAAAACTTTAAATGTAATAGTTAGTTTAAAAACTTGCCTAATAATATTGTTTTATAAAGTGAAGAAAAAAAAAAGGGTGATCAAATAAGACTGATACAACAGGTTTTATGATTTTTTAGTGCAGATATTTTTTTTTAAATATTTTTAATAAAAAAATAAAATAATAAAACATTTGTAAAATGTAATTTATAAAGAAAATAAAATACTAAAAAAAAATTACTTTAAGACTCCTTTTAAATATTTAAATAAAAAAATATAGAAGTCACATATTACATCACCTATAAAATACAACTTTTTAAAGAACTTTATATATATAATTTTGTAAGAAGTCTTAGTTTACTATTTGATCCCTTTTTACAAATCTAAAACAAACTAAATTTATATAAGTAACAGAAATAAAAAAAGAAGTTATTTTTTTAGACTAGCTGTTGATCAGCATTTAGAATAAAATTTTAACTAGAAGAAATAAATAAATAAAAAAAAATCAATAAAATAAATTTAAAAGTCGGTTTATATCGACCATTTAATAATCTACAGCACATGGGCATTATTTCGTAGTCGAAAGAAAAAAGAGTTTATTAAATCAGCCTCGTAAATTTTTTAAAATTTAGATCTTTAATCCTTAAAAAGAAAAATTACTTATGCTTTTGCGATCGTTTTACTTTCATTATTCATTTAAGGGCGACATTAACGCATATCTGATAGAAAGACATTTTGTAACGAAAACTTATTTTGATATCAACATTACGATTAAATTTATTAGATATCTGGTGGATTATACTATATGTTGTTACGAAAACAAACGTTCAAATCGAACGACTTAATGATCCTTCTTTCAGTTTCTTTAGCGAATTCCAAAAAGGGTTGAAGTTTTCTGAATATTTAAATAAGGGTTCTACAGTAGAAACAAAAAAACGACTTCCGAACTTTTCGACGACTTCCGAAATTTATCTAATATTGATACAAAAAGTCGAGTTTTAAACTTTTTTACAAATTTCGAAAGTTGACTTTTTGGAATTTTAACTTTTTGGAATTTTAACTTTTCGAAATTATTTCAGCATTGACTTTTTCGTCTTTATCCGAATTTGAAAAAAGTCTACTATTTGACTTAACCGACTTGGAAAAAGTCTATGTTTCGACTTTTTACATTTTATGAAAAATAAATTTTTCGACTAATTACAATTTTAAAATTGTTGACTTTTTTTAATATATACATTTCGACTTTATCCGATATTGAAACAAAAAGTTGACATTTCGACTTTTTGCAAATTAAGAAAAGTCGACTTTTTGCAAATTATGAAAAGTTGATTTTAAATCGAAAATGAATGATGAAGTGTCAGTCGTTTTTTCAACTTTTAACAATTTTGAAATTGTTAATTTTTATCCAACATTGAAATAAAAAGTCGACTTATCAAATTTTTTACAAAATTTTTTACGAAAGTTGATTTTTAAGAATTTAAAAATTTTTTCCGACTTTTTGCAATATTGGAAGAAAGTCGACTTTTTGCAAATTATAAAAAGTCGACCTTTCGCCTTTTTTCATTTTATGAAAAATCAATTATTCGACTAATTACAATTTGGAAATTGTCGACTTTACCACAATTAATTGCAATATCATCTCGATCCAACATTTAAATAAATTTTAGAATTTTTGCAATTTTTAAAAAGTCGACTTTCTGGCATTTTCTGAAAAGTCAAATCTGCTACTTTTTGCAATTATTCATATTTTCCGACTTTATCGAAGAATTTAAACAAAAAATTTTTTTTTTTAATTTATTTGAAATAGTCGACTTTTTGAAACTTTTTTAATATAGACTTTTCTGACTTTTTGCAAATTATGAAAAGTTGACTTTTTGCATATTATAAAATGTCGGTTTTCCAAACTTTTGCATTTAATTAAGTCAATTTTCGGGTATTTTCAATAATTTTTCGAATAGTCAAGTATTTGAATTATATCTTTCGACTACTCGGCATAAGAGGAAAAACTTCGAATTATCCGACAAAAAGTATAGGACCCTATTGTTCCGTTCTTGCCTTACTAGACAATCGTTTATCGACTTTATTAGGACGAAAAAGTCGACATTGAATTTTCGACTTAAACTAGGATTTGAAAGTTGTAACAAAAAGTCGACTTTTCGAATTCCGACTTTTACTATTTCGTCTTTTTCAACTTTTACTTTAATTGACTTTATTAGGACTACGACTTATTTCGACAAAAAGTCGATTGTTCGAAAGTAGATATATAGAATCCTATTATATTCTGAAATTTAGTTGGGAATAAAATCGTTTACAATTTCAAAATTTTCTTCATAATTTCTAACCACAACTAACTAAACAGTGTTTACAAATTTCAAAAGGAGTTAACGATGCTAAAACAGTAATAAGTAGATTTAATAAGCAATTTCAAATAGAATTAGAATTTTTTAAAAGTTAAAAAACGTTTTATGAAAATTATGTTAGATAATTGTAAAAACCTGTGCTTTAGATTATTAGCTACCGGGAAAAATGTAATAAAAGAAACTTTGTGTCAAATATATCATCAAACAAACTAAAGTGCCTTCCAATGAATGTTGTTAAATGTTAATAGAAATCGTTTATATTTAAATATACTTTTAAAAAATACACTTAAAAACTTGTACTTCATTGTTTCTTTTTTTTTTTAATATTTTAACTATTAAGGTTAAACAAGGGCAGCAATTTGAAACCTGGATCAATTTTGCTATAAATTTCTAAAAAGTAAAGAAAAAGTTGCCTGGAAAACCCTTAATTTATAAAAAAAATTGCAATATTAGTTTTTCATTTTGTTAAAAGAAAAAAAAAACAAAGAGACTTTTTTTTAATTTTTGCTAATTTAGAAATAAAGTAAGAAAATGCGTTTATATTTTTTGTTTTTTTAATAAATACTATTAAGTTTATTTAACTGTTTAAGTAAGCTTTAAACAAGTTATAAATTGTTTTTTTTTTTAATTAAAACTAAAACAATGTTGTTAAATAATATAAAACAGCAGCAGCAGCAGAGTAGAAAAGTAAATACAGCAAAATGTTGTAATAATAATTTAAATAATTTTGTAATAAGTTTTTAAAACACAGAGAGAAAGAAAACTGTAACTAAATAAAAAGTCTCCATAAACAACTATTTAATAGTTTTATTTATAACATTATTAAAAAAAAAACAACATCAAGTCACTTATAAGATGTTGTTTTATACACTACAAACAAGTATGTCTGCCAAGTAAGTAAATTGTTTTAATTAAAAACTGAAAAACTAAGTAAAGTTTGTTTAATCTTTATTCTAACGAGTTTCAAAGCTGGTTTTGATTTTCAAAACAAAAATTTAAATAAAAATAAATAAAACCAACAGATGGTTTAGCAAAAAAAAAAAAAAAATCAAAAAAGCAACGGAAAAAAATTCAAATAAAATAAAATAAAATTGTTTTGCAAAAACAAGCAAACAAAAAATAAGAAGCATAGAGTAAATTTAATGAAGGACTAGAGTTATAAAATGAATGTCTTATAATAGTATAAACAAGAAAAAAATATCTTTGTATGTAATTTTAAACTTTAATATGTAGGAGACAATGATGTTGTTGTTGTTGTTTAAAGTTTACTTTTCCTGATTCAGACTATTAATGAACTCTTCTAGCTTCTCTTGGATTTGTCTTACTTTAACTGTAAATAGACAACAAAACAAATTAGTTAAATAAATATTTACAAATTTAAAAACAAAAACCTACTTAATTCTTCTGCCAGTGTAACTCTTTTGCCCGTTAATAAATGTGCCTTCTTTTCATCGTCTTCACTAAATTCATCTAAGACTTCTTTTATTTCTCTATCAAGTCGTCTGGCCTCACGGTTTATAACCTGTTGTCTTAAAGCATTTGCTGTTACACGTATTACTTGTTGTATGCGCCAAAATAGTACTACATCACTGCAATTGATCTGTAATTAAGTTTTGATTATAATAAAACATATTTGCTGTTGAATTTTCAGTTAAGGTTAAGTTTAACTTACCTCACATTCAGCTCCTTGTTGACTGTATAAATAGTAAGCCTTGCGGCAGTCATTAGCTCTTTGTAAGGCTTGTTTAAGGAAATGTCTGTAAAATCAATTAATATTTTTGTGCGTGAGTTGAATTAATTTCGCATTTTTGTAAATTTTACTTCGTTTTAGTGAACTTAGTTTATGCGTGAGCATGATTTGAAACTTATTTAAATGTTTTTGAGAACCGAAGCACCGAACTTTTATCAAAAATTTTAAATCTCTAATTTAAGAATATTTTCGATACGAAAACTTATTCCATAAGGTATATATGGTAGTTATCTCATATTGGAATTTTAATCTGAACATTTCTTAAAAAGCCTATATTCGAACATAAGTTTGAATTTCCGATAATTAAAAAAAAGCTCATCAAAACTTATTATACGAAATTATAAGTTAAAAAAAATCTAACTTCGAACACCTTAAACAGTTGAAACCATCATAAATTATACAATTTTTGCAATTATTTTCGAAACTTTTATGATCGAAATTTGAAAATGTAAGAAATTGAACTCAAAAACCACTAAAATCATGTTTTTATGAAATTTTCGAATATAACTTCGAATTTTAGTAATTATTAAAAAAAACTCAAACATGATTATATTCTAAAACTGTACTCAAAAACTTCATTCAAAACTCTTTTGAACATAACTTCAAATTTTTCGAAATTTATAAACAACCTCAAAAATTTTTATTTTCTAAAACTACATTGTGAATATTTTGAAATTCTTGAAAATTTTTCAAATTACATATTTTCAAAATTTTTATGTTCGAAATACGAAATTATAGGAAATTGACCTTAAATAAAACTAAAATCATATTTTTCTGAATTCTTATGCTTCAAATATTATTTTAACAGCTTTAAAGAATTTTCGAACATAACTTCGAATTTTTCGAAATTAATAAAAACCTTCAAAAATGTTTATATTCTAAAAATCCTTATGATTTACAGATTAATTTAACAACTTCAAATAATTTCGAATATAACTTCAAACTTTTCGAAATTAAGACTAGATATAGACTAGACTATGTTTAGTCTATAATCTAGTCTATTGTCTAGTCTATAATCTAGACTAGTTTATAGTCTAGTTTATAGTCTAGTCTATAGTCTAGTCTATAGTCTAGTCTATAGTCTAGTCTATAGTCTAGTCTATAGTCTAGTCTATAGTCTAGTCTATAGTCTAGTCTATGTCTAGTCCTATAGTCTAGTCTATAGTCTAGTCTATAGTCTAGTCTATAGTCTAGTCTACTAGTCTAGTCTATTAGTCTAGTCTATAGTCTAGTCTATAGTCTAGTCTATAGTCTAGTCTATAGTCTAGTCTATAGTCTAGTCTATAGTCTAGTCTATAGTCTAGTCTATAGTCTAGTCTATAGTCTAGTCTATAGTCTAGTCTATAGTCTAGTCCTATAGTCTAGTCTATAGTCTAGTCTATAGTCTAGTCTATAGTCTAGTCTATAGTCTAGTCTATAGTCTAGTCTATAGTCTAGTCTATAGTCTAGTCTATAGTCTAGTCTATAGTCTAGTCTATATAGTCTAGTCTATAGTCTAGTCTATAGTCTAGTCTATAGTCTAGTCTATAGTCTAGTCTATAGTCTAGTCTATAGTCTAGTCTATAGTCTAGTCTATAGTCTAGTCTATAGTCTAGTCTATAGTCTAGTCTATAGTCTAGTCTATAATCTAGTCTATAGTCTAGTCTATAGTCTAGTCTATAGTCTAGTCTATAGTCTAGTCTATAGTCTAGTCTATAGTCTAGTCTATAGTCTAGTCTATAGTCTAGTCTATAGTCTAGTCTATAGTCTAGTCTATAGTCTAGTCTATAGTCTAGTCTATAGTCTAGTCTATAGTCTAGTCTATAGTCTAGTCTATAGTCTAGTCTATAGTCTAGTCTATAGTCTAGTCTATAGTCTAGTCTATAGTCTAGTCTATAGTCTAGTCTATAGTCTAGTCTATAGTCTAGTCTATAGTCTAGTCTATAGTCTAGTCTATAGTCTAGTCTATAGTCTAGTCTATAGTCTAGTCTATAGTCTAGTCTATAGTCTAGTCTATAGTCTAGTCTATAGTCTAGTCTATAGTCTAGTCTATAGTCTAGTCTATAGTCTAGTCTATAGTCTAGTCTATAGTCTAGTCTATAGTCTAGTCTATAGTCTAGTCTATAGTCTAGTCTATAGTCTAGTCTATAGTCTAGTCTATAGTCTAGTCTATAGTCTAGTCTATAGTCTAGTCTATAGTCTAGTCTATAGTCTAGTCTATAGTCTAGTCTATAGTCTAGTCTATAGTCTAGTCTATAGTCTAGTCTTGTCTAGTCTATAGTCTAGTCTATAGTCTAGTCTATAGTCTAGTCTATAGTCTAGTCTATAGTCTAGTCTATAGTCTAGTCTATAGTCTAGTCTATAGTCTAGTCTATAGTCTAGTCTATAGTCTATAGTCTAGTCTATAGTCTAGTCTCTATTCTAGTCTATAGTCTAGTCTATAGTCTAGTTATAGGTCTAGTCTATAGTCTAGTCTAGTCTAGTCCTATAGTCTAGTACTATGTCTAGTCTATAGTCTAGTCTATAGTCTAGTCTATAGTCTAGTCCTATAGTCTAGTCCTATAGTCTAGTCCCTATAGTCAGCTATAGTCGTCTATAGTCCTAGTCTATAGTCAGTCTATAGTCTAGTCTATAGTCTAGTCTATAGTCTAGTCCTATAGTCTAGTCTATAGTCTAGTCTATAGTCTAGTCTATAGTCTAGTCTATAGTCAGTCTATAGTCTAGTCTATAGTCTAGTCTATAGTCTAGTCTATAGTCTAGTCTATAGTCTAGTCTATAGTCTAGTCTATAGTCTAGTCTTATAGTCTAGTCTATAGTCTAGTCTATAGTCTAGTCTATAGTCTAGTCTATAGTCTAGTCTATAGTCTATCTATAGTCTAGTCTATAGTCTAGTCTATAGTCCTAGTCTATAGTCTAGTCTATAGTCTAGTCTATAGTCTAGTCTATAGTCTAGTCTATAGTCTAGTCTATAGTCTAGTCTATAGTCTAGTCTATAGTCTAGTCTATAGTCTAGTCTATAGTCTAGTCTATAGTCTAGTCTATAGTCTAGTCTATAGTCTAGTCTATAGTCTAGTCTATAGTCTAGTCTATAGTCTAGTCTATAGTCTAGTCTATAGTCTAGTCTATAGTCTAGTCTATAGTCTAGTCTATAGTCTAGTCTATCTAGTCTATAGTCTAGTCTATAGTCTAGTCTATAGTCTAGTCTATAGTCTAGTCTATAGTCTAGTCTATAGTCTAGTCTAGTCAGGTCTATATTCTAGTCTATAGTCTAGTCTATAGTCTAGTCTATAGTCTAGTCTATAGTCTAGTCTATAGTCTAGTCTATAGTCTAGTCTATAGTCTAGTCTATAGTCTAGTCTATAGTCAGGTCTATATTCTAGTCTATAGTCTAGTCTATAGTCAGGTCTATATTCTAGTCTATAGTCTAGTCTATAGTCTAGTCTATAGTCTAGTCTATAGTCTAGTCTATAGTCTAGTCTATAGTCTAGTCTATAGTCTAGTCTATAGTCTAGTCTATAGCCTAGTCTATAGTCTAGTCTATAGCCTAGTCTATA